ACAGTGTCAAAAGCCTTCCGGAAGTCCAGGAAGACTATGTCCACTGCTACCCCTGCATCTAATGATCTGGTGATCTGATCATAAAAAGCCACCAGGTTGGTCTGACAGGACCTGCCACTGATGAACCCGTGCTGATTGCCCCTAAGCATGCAGTCCCCTGCTGGCCCCTCCTGGATGTGTGCCAGAATTATTTTCTCAAACAGCTTGCCTAGGATCAAGGTAAGACTAACTGGCCTATAATTTCCCGGGTCCTCCTTCCTCCCTTTTTTGAAGATTGGAACCACATTGGCCCTCTTCCAGTCCTCCGGCACCTCTCCAGTGCACCACGAGTGCTCATAAAGCCGTGCCAGGGGACCTGCAATGACCTCGGCCAGTTCCTTTAGAACTCTAGGGTGGAGATCATCCGGACCGGCTGACTTGAATACATCCAGCCCCTCCAGAAGCTCCCTTGTATTCAGCTAGAGATTGCCTAAATGTGTTTTAAGCTACATAATACTTGCTGTCAGTTAGCTAGGGAGGACCTTTGGGTTCCATTACATCTTATTCCACTGGGGCTCCACCAGCTTTTGCTGCTTGTTAGGGTAATATAACAATATCTGAAGCATGAAAGGCTGCTATTTAGAGACCTGGTAAGGTTATACATTTGCCTCCTGTTATTCCCTGGAGAGGCTTCTGGATTAGATGCTGATTTTAATAGGGAGGTTTTGCAGTTACTTTTTTACAGTCTCTAGTCATGCAATACTGTCTATTAATTGCACAGAGTGGAATCTGTGTAGACAATCATTCAAAGAAGCATGGTTACTTGCTTTGCAGAAATTCTGGTTCTTTGAGGTGTGTTGTTTATACAGATTCCTGCTCTGTCCATTTATCTGAAATCTTCTCATATCATATTCTTATTGACAAAGCAACTGAATGTCACTTAAGGTCACCCCACTCTTTATGATGTTGGCTATGTTGATTGTGAGGGCATGGACCCTGGGTACGCAAAAAAATACAGCCTTTACCTCCCAGGCACCAGGTAACCATCTTTTCCATTCTGTGTTATGGTTTCATTCTAAAATTCAACTCACTCTGCAGCATGGACAAGTAAAACGTTAACTGTATGTTTTTCTTAGGGAATTAGGAATGAAGTTGTGGAGTGTTTCAGAATATATAAAATGCTTGTAAAAGATGTGAGAACTGTGTTTTCTTTACAAAAAAGGGGAGGGGCTCTTCTAATTGACAAAATACCTGTGCTTGGTTATATTCAAGAAGATGCCATGAGTGTTAACTTTAAATTTAACATCAAAGATAAATGAGCTTTGTTTGGCAGAACAAACAGTAATGCAGGCTTGAGTCAATGGTATTTCTTTGATTAGCAGTTAGTACTTTAGGTTAATAATGAATACTGAATGACTCCAGTTGTACTGCCTCCAGCTGTGATCACATTAGCTTTCACATGCTAAGTAGCACTGGACCTAGTCAAGACATGGATGAAAAACCTCCAAGAAAAAACCTACAGTGCTACAGGAATTGGTGCTGGGATTCAGTAGTTGGTTCTCTTTCTGTGACAGTATGAAATCAATCATCCAGCTTGATGCTAGGATGTATTGCGTTATTGAATGTTCCTTTTTGCAGCTATAGGGCAGGGGTAGTCAACGTTTTATGGCCGGAGTGCCGAAAAAACCACAGTGTCTATCTTGGAAGGTGCCAGAGTGCTGGCATGCCAGAAAAACAAAATGGGGGGGGTACATGGCAGGATGCACTGCATATTAGTATATTTAATAATCATAAATATTGCCTTTGTTGTTGTGTATTCCTTTTTTGTTGAGCATGTTGCAGTGAAAGAGAGAAAAAAGAGACAAATAAGAGAAGGAGGAGAGAGAGAGAAAGAAAAAGAAGAGCAGAGAGAGAACCAGGCACACACACAGAGAGCCACGTGCACAAACACAAAGAACCAGAACACACGCAGAACAGACACATGAGAGCACACACAGACACACAGAGCCAGACGGAGGCAGACAAACACATGGAACCAGATGCGCGGGTGCATGGAGCCAGGCTCCTGGGCCACTGGACAAAGTCCAACCCAACAGTGCCCTGGTCCCACCAGAGCCCCCGTGCTTCCCTGGGGAGCCAGCCCCTGGGCTGCAGCGCAGCTGGCCAAGGCCCCAGCCTGGAGCCTGTCTGTCAGCCCAACCATCCACCCACCCTGCACAGCTAAGCCCGCAAAAGGTGCGGTGCTCCTGGCAAGGGGCAGCGTTAGCTCCTTCCCAGTGGGGAGGCTGGGCTGGGGCTGGGCTTGGAGCAGGTGGGAGTCAGGTGGACTCAGCTGCAAACCCTGCTGCAAGCAGACTAGGCTCTGTGGTTGGCAGCAGCTACCAGAGCCTGAGCCGGTGGCAGCTGAGAGGCTGCAAACAGTTGCTCCAGGCTCTGGCATCAGCTCCATACTGGCGGGTGCATGCGTGCCTTGGATTGGACGGTGGGGGTAGGGCCTGAGGCAGCACAGCCCTCTTGCTGTCCACTCTGAGGTGCACACACAGTCACCGCCAGCATGGAGCTGAAGCCAGGGCTGTGAAGCCTGGTGCAGCTGTTCGCAGCCTGCCCGTTGCCTGGTGCAGCTGCCAAGAGTCCAGGCTGGCTACAAAAAGCCGTGCCAGGCTCCAGAGCCCAATCATTAGCTCTGTCCCAGCAGCAGGGGAGAGGCCAATGTTGCGTGGCCTCAGGCCCCTCTCCACCATCCGCTCTGAGGTTTGCAGCAGCTGCCTAGAGCTTAGGCTGGCGGTGGCGTGCCAAACAAAATGGCCTCGTGTGCCGTACTTGGCACACGTGCCAGGAGTTGCTGACCCCTGCTAGAGGGTAAAAGTGAGACTGTGACCACATCATCACTAAAAACCTTTGATTACCACCTACATTGCTAACATTCAGACAGTTGTATTGATCAAAATTAATATTGTTTTCTATTTAAGATCTTGTAATACAAATTATTTTAATGTTCCCACTCTCCTTCAACAGGAAGCTTCTTTTTTGCCAGATATTAACACATTGCCTAGTCATGACAGCATGAAACATGAGATGCTTCTGATGACAATCTGGCTATCCAGTTGTGGACAGGTAGCTGCTTTTGGTCAGCATGATGGACATTTCCCAGAGACTGTATTGACAGCAGCCAACATCTATCAAGCCCTTGTTACTTGGCTTCTCTCCTTGGTGAGTACATGGAGTGAAATGCAGCAAATAGGTAACATCAGGTTACTAGATGGCTTTTGCCCACCAGAAAATGGATAATCCTTATTACAAAATGTCCTTACTCCAGTGTCCCAAAGCAAAGACTGAACCCAAAGAGAGCAAATATCATGCCCTACTCTCATCCTTCTGGAAGTCAATGGAAAGAGTCCCATATAGAAGCTGGGCCAGGCCCTTAGTTTTCAAAGAGCGTGCAACAGAAAACAATGACATTCAATAGAACAAAGTATTTGAAAGTGACCAGTAAGAACAGAAAGACTTGTCTATTCAGTGTCCTCCAGTAAAACAGGAATGAATAGAAATGGCCATTTCCGATTATTTGTTCCGGGTAAGAGCTGACTCTTTCATCTAAATAAGTGGTATAGACTTATCGGAACTTAGTGGCCCAGGGCTATTCTGTTATATCCTAATAAGAGGTATCACCACTCACTGTTGTTAGTCTCATTAGACCAGCTATAAAAACTTGGGAGCCCCACCAGCTTCCATCCTCTCCAGCCTTCATTCTCAAATATTCTCTTTCTTCCTCATCTTTTCCATCCATTCAACAGTAGCATTCCTCTCCAAGGGAAACAGAAGCTATCTTTTCTGTCCCCCAGTTTATAGGCCTGTGCGAAGTGGCTAGTTTTCACTTTGGATTTGACCGATTCAGGGGACAGTGATTTGATGGGGGGAACTGAGCCCCCTGCCCTTGGCCCCCTCAAGCCAGGTTCTGCACAGTGGGGGGTGGGGAGGGAGGCAAGAGGCGGGGCATTCCTCCCCACTGTGCAGCCTCTCCCTGTGGGGCTGCAAATGCCATGGCCCTGGCTCCAGCACAGTGCGCTCTCAGCTCTGTTCCTGCCTGCCAGTGTCAGCCAAGCCAGGCAGCATGAGGAGGGGAGGACTGGAGATAAGATGCTACAGCCCCAGGTGGGCTCATGCTCATTCTTCCACTACTGCTCTGGCACCAGCCTCAGCCCAGCTGCAGGGATCTCATATGTGTGTGAGTGTGTGTGAGTGCATGATTATGTGTGAGTGCAAGTGTGAGAGTGTGTGTGAGCATGAGTGTATGAGAGTGTGAGCATGTGAGTCCACACAGGCCTCAACAGCAACTCATTAAGTTGCCCTGCAGCCCAAATAATTGCCCACCCCTGTTCAAGAGAAAGGATGGAGATTGCTTTGGTCCTTGCTGAGCCCATGGCCTTATGGTTTTGCCATTTTGCTGGGAAGGAGGAGATGCAGGCTCAGAATGAGAGGGGCCCAGAATCTGGGTCATCTGCTTTTTGGGCAAGTGCCCTAACCACTAAACTCTGGACTAGAAAGTGCAGGAGGTTACCACCTTAATTCTGGCAGTTACACTTTTGTGAGCCTGTTCTGCTCTAGATGAAAGTAGGATCCCAAATGTGCATAAGTGCCAAAAATTGTAGTTATGCAGCCACATAAGTGCCACTTCAGTGCATAAAGGGGAAATAGGATTCAGTCCTTAATGTTCTAGACAGTGTCAGGTTGTGTTGTTCACAGTGATGTCACTGACCTGCACAAATGTCTCCAAGCCCTGTATGGCATGAGGGGTCCTGACCTTGCACTGGCTGTCCCTCTCTTTTGAGGGTTTCTGTAACTTCTTCTCCCAACCTTTTCTGTACTGTGTTCTCTTTTTCTCCTTTTCTTCCCCCCCTCTAAGTTTTTGGGTATCCTACTGATGCTTCTCCCCACTGATACTGCCTTTTTCTACTCCCTGTCAGGGTTATCCAGGAATAACAACATCTCTCATGCAAGCCTTGTACCAAATGTATCACATCTGAGTGTGACTTTGAGTCTTAGGGTTTTTGTCTTGGCCAATTAGAGGTTTATGTATCCAAAGCATTTTACTGGAAATATATTGATATTCATGATGCATGGTTCCTAGTGTTCATTTTAGGGCTAGCATAAGTAACTTTGTATCCTTATTTCAAATTAGATCTGTACATTCCTTTTCCCCACAAAACATAAAGCCTATCTAAAAATTCAGCTTCAGCCTAAATAAAACTGGAAGGTGACTGATGTGCTTGTGGCTATAACTGATCAGTAATGAGGAACATGAAGGCTTATTAAAGAACCCTACCCTGACTTCGTATAATGGCATAATCACTTAGCATTGATTTTTAACAGAGATTGTATTGATCTTATTATCATTAATAAAAGCAGCATACAGTGTTGCTGTAGCAAAGAATGTGCAGGGAGATGTTGACAGGGACTCTGTTCTCATTTCTTGCTAGGCTAGGGAAGTAATATGAGTTGCAAGTCTGTCTTTCTCTTTCTCCCTCTCACATAGCTGGCTAAATGTGGAGCTTGGAGCTTATGGGAAGCCTTATTGGGAAAATAAATCCCATGACCTACCAAAACCTACATGTTATTCCTTTTTAATTTGATTTTTATAAAGTTACTACTGCCTAAATCTTGACTGTTTCATCAATCAAGCTGGAGTGCTCTCAGGGTTATTCTGCACAGGCTGTCTTCATTCAAAAGTCACACTGTGGGGAAAGGGTTATATTCATTCCCTGAAGCAGACTTCTGTAAATATAATTGTGTATAAAATGAAGGCATCTATTCATATAAATTTACAGGTACCTTCCTTGAAAGTGAATGGTGGGATCAAAGCTCCATTCCAGGTGGTGGGGCTGCAGCAGATCTGGCAAGAGGATGGATTAGCACTATATGCTTGCCTAATTCCAGCTGACAGATCTCCAGCCCAGAACTGCATCAAGATCCAGAAGCACAAAGTGAGTAGCAGAAATGCCGTGCACATGTGCTGGTGTTATTGCATTTGAGCTGGGATGTACTGGCTATATTTGACTAGCCTTGAGACCACTTGGAGCCAGTGTAATTTAGAATAGCCCTTAGGCTGCTCTGAATTAAACTCGGAGCTGTCAGAGCTCAAAGTGAGAATCAAAGTGACTTTCAGTAACTGCCCGCTTGGCTTTCCTGATATGCTGAATTTAGTTGCAGAACAGATGAGGATCCAGCCCCATATGTCAAAGGCCTTTTGTCTCTTTTCTGTTCATTAACTGCTCTATATATCTTTGGTGGCTGTCACCACACAGAGTGAAAATTTATGGACAATGGTCAAAGAGGGAAGACTTTTTCTGACATCCATTATGTTTCTGGTTTTGTATTTTGATTATGTGAAAGTACAGCTAGAGGGAGGGGATATTTTCTTGCTGTTAATTTCACAAGACTTAAGAGTCCAGGATGTGGGTTCTGTTCTTTGTCAGTTCAAAATCAAGTGTTAACATAGTCCTCAACTCTGACTGAATGATGTACCCAGGAGCATCTAGGAAACTTGCAGCTGCAGTGTGTTGCAGTGTACATGATATCTTTTGATAGCCACTTGTTTGACCAAACATTCTACATAAAATAATTTCTGAGACACTGATCCTGGCCCTAGCCAAATTGGTGACTGTTTGGCAGCACAAAACAGCTTCAAAGAGTGTGTGGATAGCCAGTGGTGAATCCCTTCAGCCCCAAGAAATTAAGTGACACAGTGGCACCTTCTGTGCAACCTCATTTACAGGCTGCTGGTGTGGTCAGGGAAGAGAAGCTGTGACCAGATCCTGGCAATCCCTGGCTGATGGAGTGATCCCTTGGGGCCATTAGCAACCAGTACAGCTTAGAGCAGCCTCCAGCTGTTTTAACTTACAGCAACCAGGCACATCAAAGGGATGGGAAGGTGCAAACTGATTTAGACCTACTTTTCAGTTTTCTCTGCTCAGCTGCAGTGAATGCTCCACATCCACAGCTGACTGTGTGTGAGTACTAAAGATTAAATTTCCCATGATGTATCATAAAGTTTGGATTGTGACAGCTGTGACTGGAATGCTCCCTCAAGTAGGTGATTGATGCTGACAACTAATGTCATGATTAAAACACTACAAAAGAAACAATAAGCAGCCCTCCTGCTGATGCCTGGGCATTTGTGGGGAGGAGCATCAGGTCTAGGGAGGGCAGGCAGCCTGCTAGACTGGATTAAGGGCATCACAGTTATTTCTGCTGTAGGCTAACTGGAATCAAGGTAATTTCTTTGGAACAAAGGCCTTGGGGAAGAAACTTAACTGTCCCACATCTGCTTACTTGGAAGCCCACCCATGGAGCTGGTTTCTAGAGGGTCACTTCAGTCCAGCCATGGGGCTGACCAGAGCATCAAAATTATTTAACACTGAGCAAACTCAGTATGCCCATCTGGTGTCATGTAAGTGAATAAACTTTGCAGGCTACAGGCCCAGGCTGTTCCCAACATTTGGTGGGGGCAGGATAGACGTTCACTTTATCATAGATTGGCTGAACACACTGTACAGAGTTTTTCAGCTCTGAAATAAATCACAGAGCAGCCCTACTACTCTGCATGCACGCACTGCTGTTGGTACCTAGGTCAGCTAATATGTACAGTAGTGAACACGTGAGCCATTTGGTGAGTGCTCCTTAAAGTAGGGCTCTGTGCAACTGGTGTTTCCTTTCATTAGAGGTTCCATAATATGCCTTTCCAACAACAGTGACCTTCGTTTTTCTTGTTTTCTTGAGGCATTTGTACAGCTGCTGTTCTTTCTTCAGTCAGTGATGTAAACTGATGGGAGCCACAAAAATCTTTCAGAAATGTCAGCCACAGCAAAGGCAAAGAAAACAAAAGGAACTTGCTGCTGTCTCTCTGATTCTCCTCCTTAGCAGTATTGGCTATTACTGGAGAGAGAGCCAAAAGATTTTATTAGAGTCACCAGTCTCTTGTGGTGGTGCTAATGTACAGTATTTTACCTGGCAGTATAAAATAACAATATTTCTGTCTTGTAGTCATTCACATTTTCTATTCTAGTTCTTTCTTCTGAGCACATTAAAAATCAGGTATAAGGGTTTAGCATAATTTGGATTTGAAATGAGCATCCAGGGGAAAAAAAACTTGGATCCCAGTAGTTGCTGTTGAAGTTCTTGGTTGCAAGATTCTAGCAAAATACAAATTAAATTTCCTTTAAATGAAATATAAAAGGACAAGCAAGGCCAGGGTTAACATTAGCTGATTGCACCCTGACAGTTTGACAACCTAGTGTTCTTAGCTTGAGACATCTGCATTTGTTGTTTACTGTGGAAAACAGACACATGCCTTGTCCATCTTGTTGGATACAAGTTAGTGCCCATGAGTTACAAGAGAGTAAATGCCTGTCTTTCTATGGATCTCTCTCTTACATCGGTCACTCTAGTATTAGAGTGCCAGATTCATGAGGCACTAGCCACAGTGGTCTGTGAGGTTTTCCTTTCTTTTGAAATTGTATCATAAAAATAGTGCTTCTGAGAGGCAGTGGATTGCCTTTCATAAGCAATCTAGAAGCTGGGGATCTGTCTTATCTACTGACCTAGTATTAACTTCCCTTACTTACCCTATTCATAATCTTGACCTTGGCATAAGGGAACCATATAGAGCAGGGGTGGGCAAAATGCGGCCTGGGGGCCAGATGCAGCCCACCGGGCCATTCTATCCGGCCCATGGGGCCCCTAAATAATTTAGAAAATGATAGATTCATAGATTATAGAATCGGCAGGGACCCAATGGATCATTGTGTCCGACCCCCTGCCCCTGGTAGGAAAGAGGACTGAGGTCAGATGACCCCAGCCAGGTGACTATCAAGCCTCCTCTTGAAGACCTCCAAGTTAGGTGACAGCACCACCTCTCTTGGAAGCCCATTCCAGACTCTGGCCACCCTTACTGTAAAAAAATTTCTTCCTAATGTCTAACCTAAATCTACTGTCCACTAGTTTGCACCCATTATTCCTAGTTACTCCCTGGGGTGCTCTAGTAAACAGCACATCCCAAATTCCCTGCTGTCCTCCCGTGATAAACTTATAGGCAGCTACAAGGTCACCCCTCAGCCATCTTTTGTAAAGGCTGAAGAGATCCAGATCCCTCAACCTCTCCTTGTAGGGTCTTGCATGGAGACCACTAATCATGCGAGTGGTCCTCCTCTGAACCCTCTCCTGATTCTCTGTGTCCCCCTTGAAATGGGGCTCCCAAAACTGGACACAGTACTCCAACTGTGGCCTGACTAATGCTTCATAGAGGGGGAGCATCACCTCCCTTGATCTGTTGGTCATGCATCTGCTAATACACGACATGCTGCAATTGGCTTTGTTGATGGCCTCATTACACTGCCAGCTCATGTTCATCTTAGAGTCAATGATGACTCCAAGATCTCTCTCAACCTCTGAGCTGCTGAGGAGGACATCCCCCAACCTGTAGGTATGCTGGGGATTCCTCCTTCCTAGGTGGAGT